CCGGCTTGAGCTTGGAGAAGTGCCGATTGTCAACCAGGAGCAAAAACTCATTCTTCACAGTATGATTTCCGCGTCTGAATCTGCTTTTGCTTCTCTCTCCATGGAGTAGTTTCCCCATTCATCTGGGTATGGGGAACCCTAGATTTGTATGTTAGGTCTGATTGTATGAACCCAAGTACAGATTTTATGAGTTGATTATATTCGATTGAGGCATGAATGATTGAATGACTTGAATCTTGATCAAATTCCTGTTGTTTCTGCTTTAACCTAGAATGAGAATATCTACCTAGGTTGATAGAGCACCCTTAATTGAAGGTAGTGAATTGGCGACTTTAGTCGAGGAGCCAATTCGCTATTCTGTACCGAATTTAATTCGGTAGTGGAGGTTTGGTTCGTTAGGGCCTCAATCTGTTTACACTGGTGGAGGTTAGTCGCCCGCTGGAGACTCAGATTGAGAGGGTCTGGAGACCTTTATTCGAGACTTCAGACTGTTTAAGAACCTTCCGCAGTATAACTTTCATGAAAACTGAACTTGGTAAATTGCAATCCGGCTTAACTGCAGTATGGGGGAACCATATCCGGGTGGCCTCTCTTGACTTGAAAACAACCGTTTAACTTGCTTGTTTGTTTGTTAATTTGGGCTTGCACTAAAGTTTCACTGCTAGATAACAAGAATTCACTGAGTAGTCATCAAATCTAGAACCCGGGTTGACATTAAAACCCAAACCCGCTATACTACGCTTTAGGAAGTGGTTACACTTGGCCAATTTCTAGAGTGACAGTAGGAGTGAGTCATGAGTCTTTTAAAGTAATTTCCAGTGTTGTTAAAGCCGACCCGAGCCGGTCGGTCGGATCGGTAAAACCGGCACCCGGACACCAACTCGGGTCGGAAGCTTCCAATAGTCGGAACGGTCAGAAATGTCGGTTTTTGAGCGGCTGAAATGGTTAACCATTCGAGGCGCTCGGACCGTCCGACCGGTTTTTGGGTTTTTGACCGTCTGAAAAAAGAAGAAGAAACAATCGAGGGTCGGATTCTTGGGGAATTTGTTGTTTCGTTCCTGGATCGAGGAGCGGCCACGCAGATGGATTTCACGGTGATGGTCGAGATGGTCGTCCTTGGGATGCGGTGATCAGATCTAAGAGTGGGGGTGGGCGGAGTGGAGGAAGGTGATGTCCGCTGAACAGATCCCTGCAGGCGGCGCTGATCTCTTCTCCCAAGCACACTACTCCTCTCCGCCTTCCTTGCTCGAAGTCGCCGCCTTCCAGTTCATAATTTCAGAAGTCGCGAGTTAAAAGGGGTAGAGGTATGGATGGGTAATTGGATTGAAGTTTAATCGGAGAGAAAGGAAGGGTCACGGCGGTGATTTGAGAGAGGTGGGATCGATGGGCCAAGGGAGAAGCATTTTGGTTTTGTCGGCCGAATGAAAACAATTGATTTTAGGGTTTATAATTATATATATATACCATGGTAAATTACTAAAATGATACATTCAAAGCAAATTTCGTTTTAGTCATTCAATTTTCTAATAAGCAATAGTTTAGTATACATATTATGATTTTTACTATTTTATGTGTCTTCTACTTATGATATTATTGTTTTTAAGGTACCGGTTCTCAAACGAATTTTAAACGGTCTAATGCCGGTTGGACCACTAATGACCGAGTCGTTCACGTTACCGGGTCATACTCCGGCTCGGCTTTCACAGCATTGGTAATTTCACATGTTTGTTTGTTCAGTTTGAACTTTGAACAACCTCCATTGACCGGCAAGATAACAATTTAGTTTTCAAAGTAATAGTAATATATAAAACCAGTGGGAATACATAATTGATCAACAATTTATTACTTCATGTAGTATTTGACCTAAATTGGAGTAGTCAGCAATGCAGTCAAAATCAGGATTTTGATCGTAAAATTGTAGGATTTTTGGATTTTACTTAGAAATTTCGATCCTTATTTTACTATAAATCGGTGGACCTTAAAATCGTTCAAAATCGGGATTAAAATCGTTAAAATCGTAAAATCGTACCAAAATCGGGATTTTGATCCTATGTGATATGCGGTTTGAGACAATTCAAAAGAAGCAAAACTGTTTCAACGGAAAGGCCAATGACGGGGATCTTCTCAGATATTTTTCCAATTAAAAGAACATTTGAAAAGGAAAAAATCCAAATTAGGGTTCGGTCAACCCCTTTCAATTCCCCTTGTTTGACTCATCGGTAAAACCATTGTAATAAAATTATAAATACGTAAGAATTAACATCATTATTAATAAATTAATTGATTAATGAATATATTTGTATAAAATCAATGACATTAATTATTTTATTGGAGTTCACTTATTCTTAATTTTAAATCATGCTTAGTTGATGATATCGGAATTACTTTGAGTTAAACTACCTAAACACAACATGAAAATAAGAGTCAAACCCCTTGAGCTCTATCCCTTTCTCATAAATTATTTTGAGTTACACATTAAATAACAATAAATTATGATTCTGGAACATTAATCTTGAAAATTATCAGTTTAGATGTTATATGTCTTTGTCTTATTAATAATTTATCTTATTAATATTATTATATGTTAATTTCTATATGGTATTTAAAATCCTACGATTCCGATTTTACCCCAGTTTTCGATTTTAGGTAAAATCCCGATTTTGACTGCTTTGGTAGTCAGTGAAGCAAATTATATATTGTTGAGGTTGGTGTACGCTTATCTTACTGTATGCACGCCAAGTTTTTTTATTCAGACCATGAATTAATCGAAGTTTTGGGCATTATATTATACTCTAACTTCATTTCAAATCATAAGATTCATTTGATCTTACAATAAAAATCAATAATGCTGATTCATCAAAATTACCAATATAAAAATAATAAGTGTGAGCACAAGCTCGTATATATCGTATGACTGTGTTGCAAATATTTGTTTACTCTTCATCTTTACACGGGTCCGGATAGTATAACAACACCCTTTGTGTTGTTATAGTAACATCAGGGGTAAAAAAGGAAAACTAACAGAAATTAATAAATTCCAATTGAGAAATAAAATTTTCAATCCCTACCTGTCTCTCTCGATCTCCTCCGATGCCATACCCCAACGACTGCATCTCCTCCGGTACGCTCGCCTCCATCACCGGCAGGAACACCCCTGCTATCGACTCTGACGGTAGAGGCGTCGACCTTCCTCTGATCTCAGGCAAACAGCTAGATCAGAACCGCGATGTATCTGGCGACTACGATTGAGGCCTCCACCCCCCGCCGTTCCTTCTTTCTTCCTCCGCCGGGGTTGCCAGTCCTCCTCTCGTTTCTTCTTTCTTCCGACGCTGGCGCAAGCTGCGGATTGGGTGGCTGTTGGATGACGGAAGCGACGGCGGCGGGGAAGAGGAAAGGGACCATGGCGTCCAGCTCCGGCTCCAACGGATTGGCTTCCTCGATAATCGAGATGAGTTCGTCGGATACGGAAGTCTCCGAGAGGGGAGCGGTTGCGGCGGCGAGAAAGCAGCGGATCCGATAAGATATTTGATGGAGCAGAAGCTGGAGATGCATTAGTTCTTTCTTGTTGGAAGAATCCTAAAGAGAAAAATCTTTCGATAGATAAGGATATGGCCTGAAGCTGGGTAGTTATCATAAATGTAAAGTAATTAAAGATCAACATCACAGTAAGCAAGCTTAAAGAATGGAAATACCAACTACTTTTTACAACATTATACATCCATTTTGAGCTCCCTTTTGGTTTTTGGTAGTAGAGATGTTAGTTGGCGAGCGAGCCACACAACAGAGAACAGCCTCTCTCTCTCTCTCTCTCCCTGCCTGCCCCTTCAGAACTTGTTCGAAAAATCATCCAACCCCTGGGGGGAATGGTGCATAATAGGGACAAACCACAACATTTGCGAACTAGTGCAAACCACAAACGCAATAAAACAATCCACAAAAAATATATCGGAAACCTCCTAATGTAAACCACAAATTCGCTAAATCATATCAAAAACCTCACAAAGCAAACCATAAATATTTTGAAAAGCACACCAGAAACCCCCTAATGCAAACCACAAACACGGTAAAGCAAACCAAAAACGTCCTAATGCAGACCATAAATATATTAAAACAAACCAGAAACCTCGCAAAGCAAACCACAAAAGTTTCGAAAGCACACCAGAAACTTCTTAATGCAAACCAGAAACCTCATAATGCAAACCACAAATCTCCTAAAACAAACTAGAAACCCCACAAATGCAAACCACAACATTTGCGAAAGCACACCAGAAACCTCATAATGCAAACCACAAACACAGTAAATCAAACCACAAAAAAGAAAACCATAAACGTCCTAATGCAGACCACAAATATATTAAAACAAACCAGAAATCTCACAATGCAAACCACAAATTTTTTGAAAGCAAACCAGAAACTTCTCAATGTAAACCACAAACACGATAAAGCAAACCACAAATAGCATAAAAAAATACAAGAAACCAAACCATAAATCTCACAATGCAAACCATTATATCCGGTGGTCGTTGACCGGTCAACGAATTTCGTTGACCAAACTCCGACGACCATCAGTGATCGGATTCCGGCGCCGATAGGCATATTCCGACGCCGGTAAGCATATTCCGACCACGGTGAGCATATTCCAGCGACGGTGGCATATTCCGATGACAAAAAAGCATATTCCGGCGGCGAAAAGAATATTATGGTGACCGGCGAGCATATTCCGGCGACCAAAATTTTTTGGCAAAAAACAAAAAATATTTATTTTATATTTATTATTTAAACATATTTTTCATAATGACAATTATACCCCGATTTTGATTTTACACTAGATCAACTCATCTAATAAAAAGTCATCACAACTCTAGTTTCCTATTGGTTGAAGACTAATGTTGTTACAATAACAATCACAACTCTAGTCCCTCTTTACACCAAATGTAGTGGACAATTTACAATATTTTGGCGAATCACTACTGATTTAGCGTAAGTGACAGCTCGGAACGGCAACGTTTTCACTTCTTATAGAGATTCTGGATAATGGATTGGGAAGCGCTCTAACGCAATCCTTAAACCTTTTTTTTTCTAATCCTCTCCCTTCCAATCCAGTCTACCTTAGCCAGCTTCCCCCTCAGTCGCCGGCGTGCTCCTCTAGCAGCCGCCATGTCCCTTCTCCTCCGATCCCTCCCTCTGATCACCGTCCGTTCTAGACAGTCTCTGCCTCTCATCCACTTCGTTTTCAAGTCCCGATTTCCAAACCCACTCCTTAAAACCGGACGATACGCTTCTTCTGTTTCTGTTTCTGCTTCTGCCTCCGCTTCTCCCCCTCCTCCCTCAGCAGAAACGCTCCCAAGGCCTCAAATTCCGTTTACGGATGCTCTTGATTGGGTTTCCCGTACTGGCCTCTGCGGAGACTTGTCAACCGACGACGTGGGTAAGCGTGTTCGCCTCTGTGGGTGGGTTGCTTTGCACAGAGTTCATGGAGGCCTCACGTTTCTTAATCTCCGAGACCACACAGGCATTGTCCAGGTAGACTAACACTGATGCAGCTCTTCAATCGTCTTCTTGTCTTCTTTTCAAATATGTTTGCCTTCTTCCCCGGGAGGAAAACTATGCGACTTTTAGGATTATAGTGCTATAGCCTTTTTTTTTCCCTTAAGTTGACTGACTTGGTAATTTGATTATTGGCGGGGGTGAAACTCTAGGTGACGACACTTCCTGATGATTTCCCAGAGGCTCATTCCGTCGTAAATGACCTGAGGGTGGAGTACGTAGTTGCTGTAGAGGGGATTATCCGGTCTAGGCCTAGTGAGTCTGTGAATACAAAAATGAAAACGGGCTTGATCGAGGTAATGCTACTTCCTTCTTGTCCTTTTATCTGCCCGGCGTTGAAAAGCAAAACAACAAGTTCCCATATTCTTACAGTCCTAGCCATATTGGTGTGCAGGTAGCAGCAGAACATGTTCAAGTCTTGAATGTGGTTAGAACCAAGTTGCCTTTCTTAGTTACCACTGGAGATGATGCTAAAGATTCAGTGAAGGAAGAGATTCGATTGAGGTGGCTGATTCAATATTACCTCAATTCACTTACCGTGTTATGAATCTTGGGGGTCTCTGCAATTTTGGATGCTTGAGCTGTATTGAATTTGGCATTATGTTCTCTGACAATATATTGTATGCATGTATTGATTACTTGATGTGATAATGACATCTTTGAAGAAGTTTAACGACAGATATCACATGGGTAGATGGTGTGGATATTTTCCTGAGCTGCCAACATCATTAGGTCCTTGCAGGGTTTTTTCTTCTTCTGCAGAATGTATAAATGACGTCTTTATTTTTAGTAGTAGAACATATAGATTAGTTTCAGGTATGTGTAGTTTTGTGGTTAATAGTTATATTCTTGGAAAATTATGCTGCATCCTCATGTGGACAGCTGCCATATTCCCCAACCTTGATAGGAAAACCATAAAGTTCTTCCCTCATCCTATAACTCTTTCATCCACTGGAATTTTGTACTTTTCCTTTTTCACAACATTTTGTACTTGTTTCGACCTTTCAGAAGTATTCTGTTAATTTAGTGTTGATTTGCTTCCATAAGCTGACAACTATCCAAATTGCATAAGCAGGTATAGATGCCTTGACCTACGTAGGCAACAAATGAGTACCAACATAATGCTCCGTCATAGGGTGGTAAAACTCATCCGGAGGTTTCTGGAAGACTTGCATGGATTTGTTGAGGTAGACATGGAAACTTGGCTGAAGGAACTTGATTTTATATGCATATTGCTCTTGTGATCTGATCCTGATTCGCATTTACAAGGTAGATTGAGACTCCAGTACTATCGAGATCTACTCCAGAAGGCGCTCGGGATTATTTGGTGCCGTCAAGAGTTCAGGTATTGCCATTTGTTTTGTCTACATTAGTGGTTTAGTGCTGCCTTAGGTTTAGTAGAGTACGTAGTGAATTGGACCACATTGGTTTCCTGATGGATAATTGTCAACTGTTTTTGTCTGTGCCTCTAGATAATAAATCTCTCTCATGTGCTTCATCTATTGGTTTCTGGATCTGATTCTCTAACCTGTTTCATCTATTGCTTACTGCCTTACTGGGATTTTGAAGTTCTTTCTCTGCTTGGCTTACAGCCTTGATTCATTCTGTTTTTCAAGTCAGGAACATTCTACGCTTTGCCACAAAGTCCACAACTTTTTAAGCAGATGTTGATGGTCTCTGGTTTTGACAAATATTATCAAATGGCAAGGTAATGTCTCTACTTGGCTGGCTGGAACTCATTGTTACATGATAGCAATAGCTAACTGCAACTATTAGACTTACTGCTCCAGTCGTTTCATTGAAAAGATAACTGAACATAGTGGTTTTTATGTCAGTAGTGAGGACAACAGCTGTGCTCTTTGACAACAGTGTTTAAGCATGATACCACTTCTATTTCATTGCAGATGCTTTAGAGATGAAGACTTAAGGGCAGATAGGCAACCTGAGTTCACACAGCTGGATTTGGAATTGGCTTTCACTCCTTTGGAGGAGATGTTATCACTGAATGAAGATCTGATTCGTAAGGTTTGAGTCTCACTACATGCTCTATGAATAAACTTGTGCCTGGTTCTAAAGATTGCTCAAAACTTACTGTTGAAGTCAACAGTTGTTTGATGGCTGTCCATGGAAGTTCCAATTTGTTTCTTTGTGAGAAAAGCATCCAATGAATCTAGTTGTGCATCATATCCCAAAATAAGTTCAGTTGTGACAGCTAGCTTTGCCAATCTGAAACTTCCTCTAGTAGAAAATGGGATTCTAGTTTCATGTTCATATCAACTTGAGAATGAAATGGCTGGTTATTGCTAGCTAGGGGTGTATATGTGGTGTTTCTGCACACCTGCATTTCACGTTGGTGGCTGGTCAGTCAAGCTTTTGTCTGTGTAGTCCCAGAGACACCAGTACTGTAGATAATAGAGGCTCTCATCAAGAATTGGAACTTTCCGGTCTTGGCTCGTACATGTTGGCAAAATATCAATTAGGTTCAATCATGAGCTTTCAATTGCATTTTCAGAACCTTGAAATGCCACTGAAAGTTGGATCTACTTGTACATTTGTTGGATGAGTAACAATGATATTTGCTTTGCAGGTTTTTCTGGAGATTAAAGGTGTTCAACTACCTGATCCGTTCCTCAGACTTACATATGCTGAAGCTATGAGTCGATACGGCTCTGACAGACCAGACACGAGATTTGAGCTTGAATTGAAAGATGTAATTGTCTGGTTAGACACTTCATTTTGCCATTTTCAGCACTTAAGTTGTAGAGTGAAAATGCAACACGAGAGCACATTGGTCCCTAGACAGTATATGGCTAAGGACCTTATAGGAAGGCAAAAGTTTTTATGTCAGTGATATTTTTCCACTCTATGTCTACTTTTACATCTACTATTCTTTGTTCTTGTTTTTGCTGAGTAGGGCATGTGGGCTAGTTAAGTTCATGCGTCATCATAACTATTCTGAAGCTAATGGTTGTTGAAAACCTAGTTAAGTTCGAGCTTAAGGCTTTTAGAGTAACACCGAGTTTTTTAAGCTTTGATAAACTTCAATTGGTACAATAGCGGTGCATGCAATTGATTTTAAGTTTATTGTTCTGCATGCACATTCTAGATACTTTGCAGATGATATTTACTCTTCTAAGTATAATTTGGAATATTTAACTGGTTTGCAGGTGTCAGATATTTTTACAGAGACCCCTTTTAGGGTTTTTGCAGATAACTTGAAGAGTGGTGGGATTGTGAAAGCATTATGTGTTCCTTCAGCTGCTAAAAGTTACTCGAACTCAGCTCTGAAGAAAGGTGATATTTACAATGAGGCAATTAAATCTGGGGCAAAGGGTTTGCCTTTCCTAAAGGTCTTGGATAGTGGTAAGAGTAATTTTTATCTGTCAATTCATTTGCTTGCTTCTTTCCGTTACACATAAAATATTACTGGCTGCAGTACTTGACCTGAAAGTATTTTAATCTTTATTTTTAGCTGAATTGGAGGGAATACCTGCATTAGTATCTGGTTTGGACCCATCAAGAAAAGAACAGCTGCTGAAAAGATGCTCTGCAGGACCAGGGGATCTTATTTTGTTTGCAGTTGGTCATCATGCATCAGTCAATAGAACCCTAGACCGTCTTAGACAATTTGTTGCCCATCAACTGGGCCTGATTGACCATGTATGTTTGGCATTTTACACGTTACGAAATCAGTATGATCATCTTGCGTTTTCTTTTGCTGTTGCTGATGATGTTTCCTGATTCTAATATTTAGTCCAGGCATTCGATTCTGTGGATAACTGATTTCCCGATGTTTGAATGGAATGATATGGAGGAAAGGCTCGAGGTATGGACTCTATACGAGTATTTGTCATGATTCCCCTGTAGTTCTCCTGACATTAGGAATCTTGAAATTTGCTGGTGTGCTTTGTGAATGGTCATTGTGAGTTCAAGTAGGAAGGAAACAAAAGGAAAAATGAAACGCAATCTTGCTATTTATGCTTGTATCTGCTGCTTCTGTTGTTGGTCCAAAAATTCACAATCAAGTTTAACTATCTATTTTGTCACCTAAATGCAAAATGATATCTTCCTTTTTAATGTCTCCTCGATTTGATAGCAAGCATCTGCCAAATTATCTGTCCCCTAATAAACGTTGTGGTGTGCATTGGCAGCCATTACACCACCCATTTACAGCGCCTAACCCTGAGGATATGAATGATCTAGCCTCAGCTCGTGCCCTTGCTTACGACATGGTTTACAATGGCATTGAGGTAAATTGTCTTCCTCCTTTTCCGTAGTTTTCTTTGGGAAGCATTTAGCTGGAAGCTTGAAATACTGTTTTCAGCTGAATTTATGGATTTTGCACTCTGCGTTTGAACTCGTAGATTGGTGGAGGGAGTTTGAGAATCTACAAACGTGAGATTCAACAGAAGGTGTTGGAGATCATTGGCATATCCCATGAACAGGTTAGAAACGACAACCCCATTTTTTATGCATTCTCGTGGACAAAATTGGAGAATCACCAAGAGATGGAAATTCCCAGATTGCTTCAGGTTGATGCAGGGGAAAGAAGAACAAATGTTGGTTTTGGTAAACTGTATGTTGCTTTATTTGCAGGCTGAATCAAAGTTTGGTTATCTTCTGGAAGCTCTGGACATGGGTGCCCCTCCACACGGTATGCGATTCTCCACTGTTTCTAGGGGTTCTATTGTGCTTTTCCTCGTAAGAGCTTTGATAGTGAAGGGATATCATATCAAAATGATTGCAGGCGGCATTGCTTATGGGTTGGATAGATTGGTCATGCTGCTGGCCGGTGCGAACTCCATAAGGGATGTGATAGCTTTCCCGAAGACGACAACAGCTCAGTGTGCACTTACACGAGCACCATCGGAGGTGGATCCTCGGCAGCTCAAAGAACTCTCCCTCCTTCTTGCTCAACATTAAACTGAGCTGTTCCCATTTGGTCCCGGTTAGATAGGGGCCCAGTATTCTGGCTCCTCTGCCTCCAGCATAATGTGTTTCTACTATTTTGTTTCCTCGGAGGGTATGTATTTGTACAAGGCATAGCGAGTAGCGGATTGGCTTAAGGAGGAAATTATTGTTGGTCGGAGGCATAATTAACAGGTGGTTTGGAAGCTGTGATTGTTTTTTGAGATTTGCTACAATTCTCTTGGATCAAGGATCTGTACCGCAAATCCAACGCAAATGAGATTTGGTCAAATTAAGTGTTTGGGTGCATAAAAAACTGGATATGAAGTTATGAACCGTGCAGTCCATGAATTTGGAACCTTTTTCATACCAAATTTGTGGGCCCAATGTATTTGGAAAACTGGCATAATTTGGTGAAATTTTGGAGTAGAAACATAGACTTGATGCCAAATGACTCTCATGAAATATATTTATTCTATATTTTATTTATTAATCAATTTTGCTTCTCTATGAAACTGATGGTAATAATGAAAAAATAACCCAAGAACTGAAACCATATGTTGTGACCGTTTATAACAATCAATACAAACATATAAATTTCTAATAACAAGCAATACAGACACGTTTATAACAAGAAATTCAAACATATGAGATTTATAACAAGCAATACAAACACAAGAAAACTAGAGTAAGTTTACCCATGTTAAAATGTCAATTTTATGATTTTTCCATAAAATCTTGAGGTCTTATTGCCTTGTGAAAATCAAAACAGAAGTTTTGTATTCTCTTGAATAAAAAGGTTACAAACCCAAGAAAAACGAAGGACAATTTTGAAAATTTTCTTGAAAAAAATAAGCAAATTGATTGAAAATAAAAAAAATATTTTAGGGGTATTAAGGTAAATCAAACACTAAACTATTGATCATATTGAACACAATCCATCATAAAATCAAACACCCAAACAATAATTTTTTATATCTCAAATGTACCCAGGGATGGCAACTTCGGCCTGACCCATTTCACCCGACCTGTTTGGCCTGTTTTGTGGCGGAGCGGGTATGGGTACTCTCATCGACCTGACTTGCCTTGATTCACCCAATTATCGACCCATTCTTATCTAAATTACAAGTAATCTTTGTCAAATTACATAGAATTTTGCTTTTATTACATCATATTTTAACAATAATAAAGTTATAAATTAGCGAAAACTTTAATTCTCCAATAATTTAACTACATTTATCATATAATGATTTGTTTCTTGATCCCCATCATACTTTCCTGCTTTTCTTGAAGAGGTTGATGGCTCTTATCCAGTACTCTCACCAATTTGTGGCCCTTGTCGCTGTGCTTTGACGGATCTGGCGGTATCGAAACTAGGTTGTTTTTTAGGGCAAACAATTTGGAATCCCAGCTTTGGCGTCAGTACCACCAACAGTATCATGAATGGATTAATTTGCTGGTGGAGAGTGTGATGCGGTCTTCCACGCCCAGGTTTGGTTGCGTGCATCTAGCCTCCCCTTGGTTCTATTATATGTATGTGGGATGAGGTGACGAGGAGTAAGTCCCATTCGGCCGGGAGATGACTATCCAAGATCAAGATGGGGAGGTCATTTTGGCTAAGGGAAACCTGATTGTTATTCCTAAATGTACCAAATTTATCACGAATCCTTCATTGTTCAAAGCCTAAGATTTGACACAAGCTTTTATTTTTTAAATCCTTGAACCAAAGGACTCTACAATATTTATTTGATTTGACAATTGACATAAATGGTCACTCAAATTAAATAACTGACCAATCTCAATTTTTTGTTAAGATTGTTGAATCAATTTCTTATTCACAACGGATTTTGTTTCTATAAAATACTTAAAGCACTTTAAGAAAAACCCCATTGACACGTCAGCCTTGAGAGGCTCTCCGCAAGTTTCGGTTTTTTTCATTTTAAATTTTTTTCCTTTACCTCCGACAGTTAACCGCCAGCTATTTTTTGGCCTTCTTATTACTTCATTAACACCGTTTCAGTCCTATTAAAATATAGATTCATATATATTTTTAATAACCGAGAATGGCTTCTAATCATTTTTTTTACTGTTTCTATTTGGAGAACGGACTCAATTTTCTTAAAATGAGTTTTTTTTTTCAATTTACATTAGGACTGTATATATTTTATTTTATGTTAGAAGGGCGGAAGGAAAGACTTGAACCTTCAATATTCAATTTTTTTTAAAAAAATTTAATCGTGCTTTTCAAAATGACATCCACCGTAAAAAAAATCAAAATTTGAGTGGTACAAAGTGATACATGATTGGTATGAACAAAATTTTAAAATATATTAAAAAATGAATATCATTTTGTAGATCACAATGCACCCGTTATATTTATACAAAATAAAAAACAAAAAATAACGAGCCAAATGAAAAATTTCTTCAATCAATGATCAAGCATTTTTACTAAGAATTTTTCGGATATCAGAAATTTGAACAACAATAAATTTGGATTTCTTTGAATTCATAGATAGAGATTATAAATTTGGATTTATAATTTTGAATTTGAAACTGTTAACATAAAATCCTATGATGGACATCATAACCTTCCACACCATGAGTTACCATTTCATAATTACAAAATCAGAAGCGGGCAGAGTAAATATTGGAAATTTTCATATTAAGCAAATCCCAATTTGAATTCAAAATTGAACCAATATAATCATTATCCCTCTATCCATGTTAGAATGTTCTATAAAGAAATATGTGTTGCTTAAAATAAGGATAGCAATTATTGAATGAGGGATTCCTATTTTTGTTAAGAAATTCATCAAAATAGTTCCCAACTTCCCGGCCAATAGGCCGGGTACAAAGCTAGAATCAAAGAAATGAAACTTTTGGCCATCACATCATTGTAAATTCAAGTAGCAACAAACAAATGAAAAGCTCCCAAGTACTCGGCACATTCAGTTATGCACATAGTCATCACACAACAACGATACTTTAATTATATTACGAAACTTTAGGTTTTTCATCATACTCATGTTTGTGAAGTACAACGTTGGTCCCAAATGACTATGTTATGATGTGTTAACCATTGTAAATTTAAATAATCTACATCCAAACTATTGTCTGCCAAGAGTATATATGGTAATTTCAAAACATCAACAGAAAATGGAGACACATATAATCAGTATAATGATAAGGATAATAAACGAACCATCAAATACCCGTAGACGACAAAAAAAGGGAAAGTGGATGGCACAACCAACCCTAAAAAACGGGAATGGATCAGGTGAGTAACCTTATGGTGAGTAACCATGAGTAACCCGTCCACATCAGCATGACATCAGCATCCTCTCTCTCATGGAAAACCTTTAATTTTTCCCTTTTTAATCTTTGACGGACGATTTCTCGCTCATTTTAAGTCGAAATTTAATTTTTTTTGCACAGTTAGATCAGATTAATTGTGCTCTTCAAAATGATATCCACTTTAATATATTTTTCGAACAAAAAAAATTGAGCCATTTTTTACCAGCCTATACCATATGGTATTGACTGGTATTGAAATAAAAGCATACCTATGTTTTGAAAAACGTACCATGGTGGTATGAACAAACCAATACTGTAGGATGGTTGAATACATGATAGTAGAAGTATATTAATTGTAATTTACGACTTTTAACATTGTATACCACACAATACCACCCCGTACCAGGGTGGTATTGTGTGGTATTTTTTGGTCCTGTAATTTGTTCACCCAGAAATTTGTAGATCCAATAGATCATGATGAACTCGTCCCTTCTGTGCAAACGTTTTCAAAAATGAATTAAAAACGAAGAAGATACCATACAATACCACCCCGTACCAGGGTGGTATTGTATGGTATTGTGTGGTATTTTTTGGTCCTATAATTTGTTCACCCAGAAATTTGTAGATCCAGTAGATCATGATGAACTCATCCCTGCTGTGCAAACGTTTTCAAAAACGAATTAAAAACGAAGAAGATACCATATGGTATGCAGTTGGTACCGAGAGGCCAGAATTTTTTTTTCCTAAAAAAATATTGAAAATTGATCTCATTTTGTAGAGCACGGTGAACTCGTTCCATCTGTGCAAAAAAAATTAAAATCCGAGTTAAAACGAAAAAGATATGAGTCAATTAAGAAAGCTAGTGAAAATAAAAATAGTCTTTAATTCTCCATCCTTAGATCTGAATTTTCTAAATGAAGGGTCCAGATTTGGTTATTGATGGGTGCATAACCCATGGTTATGCACCCTATCTTGAGCCCGAAAAACAGTTATCCTGGCCAAAGGCCGGGCAAGAAGCTAGTTTAAAGAAAGGGAATTTGTTATATAAAAAAAAGGAATTTGTCTGGTGGCGGGATTGTATCTCTCTCTCATAGTCATAGCCTTTGCTAACGGCACGTTATCTTCAGAAATCAGAATTTGGAGAAATGAAAAGACTTCACTCTCTCTTTCACACCATAAGTTCCTGAACAGTAATGTTCATCCACCAAAAGATTCTCAATTCTCATGTTACGTTGATGCTTTCTTCAATGCACTCCAATGTTCGTACCCGATTGATTCTTAACTTTGCACCAACCGCATCTACTTCTACTTCTTCTTCTTCTTCTTCTTCTTCTTGGTGCGTAGCTTAAAATTATGTTGTTGAGTAATTGCTGGCACTGAATCTTGGTGCAGGTTGAAAGCAGCCTCAAGTATTCATTCACCATGCAGCAGCAGCCAATAACCTCCTCCACCTACTCCAATTTCAGATGCAGAGCCAAGAAATCAGCTGGTAGTGGTAACAATGGCGCTGGAAACGGTGTCGACCAGAGGCCCAGACGCGCCGAGACGCTTCATCTTGACAAGAGCGGGAGATGGCGAAGCTTCACAGCCAAAAAGATCTCCCGGAAAAGATGTAATAATTAAGGCATCATCCATTTCTCCCATCAAAATCTGTTTCATCGTCACTCATCCTCGCGGAAAATGGCAGGTGGTTCTTTGAGGGGATCGGGATGGAAGTACGGATCCGGATTCGTGGACGGAATCTTCCCAGTGATGACTCCAAGTGGTCAGCAGATTCTTGAACTGGTGCAGGGCGAAGAAGGAGTGGACGAGAACACCATCTGGACAATTCTCCATAATCTGCGTGCCTCTCACGACACATTCGACGACCTCGTCAATGTGCTCGTCCAGCTTCGTCTCAACCAAAAATGGGATCCAATTGTCATGGTAAAAGATTTAAGTTCAATTTCTGCGCTTTGTCTTGTCCGTGTTTCCTTTCCCAATTGGAAAATGGTGGCTGATTGAAGCTTGTGGGAATTTAGATATGCCAATGGATGTTGTACAGGAGCTCATTCAAGGCGGATGTGATCTGCTACAACTTGCTCATTGAAGCGTATGGGCGGCAATCACAACACAACAAGGCCGAATCCG